TTCCGTTTCTTTATTTGCCTTGTGGTATTTTGGCACCCAGCAGAGGACGTATTTGCTTCTTTTTCTCTTCTTGTTGTTTTCCTCCTCCTCCTCTTATGTTAATTGCATGCGGTTGTTGTTGCCGATGGATGCGGGCTCAGGACCAATGAGCTGGTGGTTGGTGTTGTTGGCACTCATTGTTGCCGTGGGCACCGTGGCGCTGGTGGCGTACCTTGTCATCGTCTTCGAGGCCGAGGAGGAAAAGAACGAGGGGTGGTGGCTCAGGATTCTTGTCGTCTTATCGTTTTCATGGGCTTGTTTCAACATTCTCGTGCTGCCGTACGACGTAGCAAACGTTCGCGGCAGCGTGTACGGCCCCGGCGGGGAGATCAACGTCACCACCATGTGGATCGCCATCCTTGTCCCGATGTCTCTCCTCGCCTTTGTTGTGTGCCCCTTCGCGATGGTATACCGCGAAACTATGGAGCCTGACCAAACGAGTGTATGGCGACCGATAAAGTTCGCCGCCATGGTAACTGCGGCCCTTGTGGGGGTATTTCTTCTGCTAATCTTTCTTTTGTGGGCGACGGTAGGGTACACCAGCATTGCGTACGCTCAGTACGACGTGGTGGCTCCGTCAGCCAAAAGTTTTGAGGAAGTCGTGCTCTTTAGCGACACCTCGTACGCGGCAACACTGCGCTTCAAAGTGTCGCTCTTTGTTTACTTTGTCGCCCTCACATGCACCATCGGCTGGATGCTCTTTTTTTTATTTGGCGGCGTCGGACTGGTGGCGATGCCGGTGGATTGCTTCATGCGGTTCCGGGACCGTCCAAGGCCTATTACCGCCGCCGAGTACGCGCTTCGCCGGGCCGAGATAGCGCAGGAGTCGCAGCGCCTCATGTGTGACGGAAACAAGCTCGAGCAGGACGAAAGCGCGGGGCATTCTGGCAGAAGACACCGAAGGAAGGTATTCGCCTTCAGGCAGCGCGTGGCGGAGTTGGAGGCGTATCACGACAAGGTTGAGACCTCCTACCGCGAGAAGGGCGGTGAAGTAGTTAGAGGCTACCTTTTTCTTTTCTTGGGCCTCGTGTTTGCCTCCATCTCTATTCTGTGGATTTTGCAGGTGATCATTCACAACTTGACCCACCTTTACCCGCTACTGAGCAACATGTTTATTCGTATGGACAGGACGTTTATGCTATTTGGGGTTCTGGCGTATGGCTGCTTCTCGTTTTACCTCCTTTCCTGCGTTGTGAAGGGGTGCGTCAAGCTTGGCGGCAATCTTTTGCTGTTTCAAATCTACCCCATGGAACTTGGCGGCACGCTGATGAACGCCTTCCTCTTCAACGCCATGCTAGTCATGATCACCTCTACGGCTGTTGTGCAGTTTTGCACCGTCAGTTTTGCCGAGTACGCCGTTAACACGAACGTTGGCGCGATGTTCACGGTTTACGTGGCAAATCTGCAGGGCATAAAGTATATTCTGACGTACTTGCAATACCCGTTGCTCGTGATTGCGGGTGTGTCCCTCGTGTGGCTCCTCCTCTGCCCCAAGCGGCGCGTTGACGATGAGTAACAGCAACGAAAACGTCACCCTCGGTAAGTGATGGAAAAGTACCGTGCATGAGTGACGCAATAGTCTACGGAAAGGGAGGGCCGTGTCTTTTTTATTTATTTATTTACTGGCTTGTCGAATGGCTTCGGAGGTGTGTGGCAATGCGACTCAAACAACGACACAATATGTATTCAGTGGCGTTGTTGTTGTTGTTTTTGTTGTTTTATTCTACCGTTGCTGCACCGGGAGCACTAACGACGCGGACGCTCCACCATACGAAAGGGAAACGAAGAGGCAACCGTAAGAAGAAGCAACAATTAAAGGAAGGGGAAGGCTAAAAGGGTTAGACATGGACTTTATGCATCATGTCCAGGGGATTTCTATCCTCAACGAAGTAGGGGGCCGTGTGTTCGCCAAGTACTACATCGATTCGGAGATGCAGACCGCTGGTGTGCTGGATACAAAGGAGAAGCAGCGGGAGTTGGAGTTGGAGATCCACGCCGCGGCTCGAGATTCGAAGCGAAGTGGCAGCATCTCTGTGGATGGTGACATCATGATTCATGGAGGTCACACTGTCCTGCTGCAGGTGTGTGACGACATCACATTTATTGTGATCGGCGATGGCGGTGAGAACGAGTTAGTGCTTCACAGCGTGCTGCGGGGTCTTGTGGACGCGTTACGCCAAGAGCTGAAGGTGTTGGACCTCAATCTGCGGTCGCTGCTGGAGAAGTACGATGCGGTTGTGCTAACCGTGGATGAGCTGGTGGACGAGGGGATCATACTCGAGACGAATCCAGCCGGCATCTGCCAGGACGTCGCCCCGTTCATTGCGGAATCCGGGGGAGAGACGGCCCGCAAGGCGCTGGACAAAGTGAACAAGTACCTCAAGGAGAATCTGTAGGGGTGCGCCGAAGGAACAAGAACAAGGAAACCGACACCACCTTTTCTCGCCTGCGGGGAAGAACGGGCAAAAATATACCCCCCCGACCGCTGTAGTTTTTTATTTTTTCTTGTTCTTCTTCTGCGTCTCTCTCTCTGTTGGTGTGTACGTATACGTTTATGAGTGTATATCCGTGTGCGTGCGTGCGTGTAGGGTTATTATTATTTTCTTCTTTTTTACCTTCCCACTGCCTCGCCCAGGTCTATCACGGGAGTAAGGAAGAGAGAAACGATGATGCGACCCACGGCGCCACGCTACATGGCCCAGGGCATCTGGGCGGGCTTTCGGTACTACTTTGGCCACTTCTTTTACCCCAACATGTACCGCGAGTTTCTTTCCGTCCAGAACGCCCACAAAGTAGAGCGTGCCCTGCGTATTCAAAGCGCTATCAAGGCGAACAAAGTTGACTACCGTGCCCTGTTGGCGTTGCCTGTGACAGATCATGCCCATCCCTACAAAATGGAATACCCATGGGAGAAGGTGATTCACACGGATTACCGAGACCTTAGTCTGTACGGGAAATGGTATGCCAGTAAGATTATGTGCTTCTACGAAGGTTTGCAATACCACAAATACGGCTGCTTGCAGGATGATCTCATTAATGCACACGGCTGGTGGAACCGCGCCGCTCGCACTCGTGCTCCGCAGGATAAAGTTGTGCATGGCGATCGTCGTGTGATGCGGGCCCGTGTTCTGCGTGACAAGTACATTTATGAGCCAAAGAGTCGCTGGGTACACCCCATCGACAACGTCGCGTACTTTGGTCCCTACGTAATGATGGTGTGCGACGAATGGGAGGAGAAGTGGGGGTTCTTCGCCGGTCAGGAAGTGGAGTACTAACTTGTAGGTAGGATATTAGGGGAGCTGAGCTGGAAGCAGCGCGGATTAGAAGAGTTAGTCCTCCCTTTTCTTTCTTGGGGGGTTTCGTTTTTATTTTTATTTTTCTTAGG